TTGCCTGAAAAGAATCATGTTTCTTATACAAACATTCTGCTAAGATAGTGTTTTAGTGTCTGCATTCATACTTGTCCTCTCTCAACCTGTGATTACGACAACTTGAAGCATCTTTTTTCTTGCAGAAGACCACATCCTGCCAGGTTTCGGACAACCCTGAGCTGAGGGTTGAGGGGTTCACCCTTGTTGTCTGGATCAGAACAACGGAGATTGGTACAGCCAGTTCATTGAGACTTGTAGAAGTAGAATGGGCAGAGGGAGAGGCAGATTAGGCGCAGTGGATTCCACTACTTGTTCTTCATCCACAGGGGTAGACACAGCATGTTACACATGACAGTACTCGCCTCCCGCTTAGCTGGATTGCTAAGGAATGAGTGAAAGATGGAGTGGCTGTTCTAGGTCCCTGTTTGGCAGGGTGCACACAGAGGCTGCCAGCCAGCCATTGAGACTGCAACATCAAATCTAACATTTCTAAAACCTTTACATCTGTTTTTGACTGATTTAATGACTCCATCTTGTGCAGGTAAGTGCATACACTGGCAGGCTCTGATGCTACCTGAGCCGTGTGTGTATACACCAACAGCCTTGACTGTGCAGTTTGAGATTTTTGCTTGGGTGTATTTCAGATGCAATTAGTTTCTACAAAAAAATGGGAAGAGATCAATGTCTCAGCGTAACTGAATATGAAGAACCATCCTTTTCCCTTTGGTGGTCACTGTAGAAGCTTGTGCTTGTTAGCAAAAGCCAGACACAGGTTGTTATGTGTGAATTTCATTCCATAGACCTGAATGCTCTTGCATCCATGCAAAGTTTGGAGAGCTCAGGCCAAGTCAAGGGCTGGATCCCTATCCTCGAGCCGGCCCATGGGGCAGCCCAACATCCCATGCTGCAGTCAAGTGCCAGAATAAGAGCCAAGCTCCTTGCCAATGGGCCACATACTCCAAATGACAAGAAAGGGGGAGTTGCAGCCCACAAAGCTGATTTCTGATCTGTTCCTCAACAGCAAAATCATATACATACCTAGCATATATACGATAGCTTGTTCATTAAGAACAAGTGGGGAACAGTGGTGGTAGGAAGTCGGAAATTTTGAATGATTTGATGATTTTTTCTGGTTCATATGCATTTTTATGAAGAAGAATCCTTCCTCCTATAAAGTGCTACCGGGTTCCTGTCCCCCTGTCACACTGACATTGCCAGCACAGGTTTTCACCTGCCCATATATGCTTCCCCACAAGCCCGTCTTACAGAAGTCACAATTTCTCTTGATTTCCATGCAAGCAAACAGCAAGTGGCTCGTCACCGCTTCCTGTGAGTCAAGAGAGGTGTTATGTGTGTTTAATTCTGTCCAGCGGGCAAAAATTCAGGGAAGGAGCTCAGTGGCACAGCATGAATCTCATCCATCATGAGCAGGGACTCGCAGTGCCAGCCTTCACATTGGGGTCAGCTGGATGAAAAGCTTTGGGCACAGGAACTGAAAGGCTTGACTGTGCAAACACATTGCCAAATCAAAATGAGAACACACCTGCCAGTGAAGAGATGCGGAGAGTGTCAAGTTCTGTAACTAACTCCAAAACAATAGCTATTTAATGTTCACTCACAGGTGCCTTCACAGCTGGCCAAAAAGTGATGTTTGCTTTTACGATACCAATGAGATGAGGAGCCCAGCCTGCCAAACTCGGAGAGGTCTCTGCCACTGCGTAAGGATGGGCAGATGGCACAGGACTGAATCCTGCTCTCCGGCCAAAATACAGGTGTGTTCAAAAGCTGACTTCACTGGCATTTCCCCTGGACATTATCCGAACAACCCGTGTCCAGCCCTGCAGCCACTCAGCAGACACCGATTCACAAGTGTCAGAGAGAAATGCCAGCTTTGCTATTAGCTTAGTAGGGACGCTTTCCACCACCCAGCTGGAAACAGTCCTACCCACACCAAGTCCTCACTAAATCTGAATATTTTTGTGACGCAAATGTTATAATTGTTTTGCTTTTTGTTTTTGTTTTTTTGCTTGGGATGCCTTTTGCATTACTGCTTTTTACTCCACAGAAAATGCAGGTTCTTGGCCTATCATCCTGCCCTGAAAGCTGAACTTCCCCCCAGGTAGCTTGCAAGGCCATGGAAGGGAAGGTGAGGTTGGATGGGGATGTGGGGAGAAGCACGAGTGGACGTTGATCATCACTCCTCAAGTGTGTACCTGCTGTCAACAGCAAACAAACCCCCGCACCCACATGGGTAAGAAATGCCACAAAATGTGTGTTTAAGGAGGAGAGGGCATTCTAACAGCTGGCTGGCTTCCAGGGAGTCACTATTGAAATGCTGAACGTCACTTGCAGGCCAAGACTCACCTAGTGCTTCTGGTCATCAGAGCAAAGGCAACGTGTGTCACAACCCGTGGGCACCCTATGGACCAGTCGCTGGTTTGGGAGATGCCCAGCTGAAGAGGGAGATCTGCAAGGAAGCCTACATGAAACACATCCGCATCCTGCCCTTTGCATGGGTTTTAACACAGGAAAAGGAAAATATGTCGGGAACAACGAGCTTCAAGCCGCACGAGAGGTTTTCCACAGTCCAAGTAGGATCCACTGTTCATGAAATGAAAAAGAAACTGAGTATGGGGGGAAATAATTGATGGAACTGAAGCAAGAAATCAGCAAGAAGCAGCTAGATGGAGTGGCCAAGTGCTGACTCCTGTGAGACTGATTTGCTAAATGAAGCAAACAGAATTTGTTCAAGTTTCTTCTCAAGGGGCGCATTTATTTTCAAGTAGTAATAGAAAGGTCACTTCCCTTCCACTGATTGTTCTTGAAACAGAGTTATTTGGAATGTGTATATGTATGCATGTGTGTGTGTATTTGGTGTTTCTTCGGAGTTTGAAATTGTCCTGTTCAACCATTCTTTAAGAAGTCAGGAATTACTACTGTTTAGGAGGGTTTTGGTTTTCTTTTTTTTTCTCTCGCTCTCTCTTTTGTGTGTTTGTGTGAGCGAGATAAATAAAAACAAATGGCTTCCTAGAGAAACATTTCAGATGTGAAATTGAGCACAGTCACATGCATACATTGTCAGACAAAAAATAATATTTATGCAGGATTAGTTCCAGCATTCAGTATTGGTTTACTGCATAGGCTGCTCAGGCTCTCTTTCATCTGTCATTCTAGTTTATACCATCAGCTTGAAAAACAAAACAAATCGTATTTTTAATAACAAAGGAAACGTTGCTTAAGTTAAAGCCTTTTGTTAGTATTTTATGTTCAACTAAGTCAGAGAGGGAAGATATGCTGAAATCAGACAAATACGACATAGGGGGAATTTTGCTCCATTTACTTTGGGTAAAACCTGCTTCGCTTGGTCTAACTGCTAAACTCACAGAGAAGCAGATTCAGCTTCCAGATAGGTTAAAACTCCCTCTAATGGCAACTGAATAGAGGACAGAAAAGGGAGAAAGCATCCTACGGTTATGTGAAATACAATTTGGCTATTTCTGCTCTCTTTTTGTTTAATGTATTTTCTTCTAGGCAAAATCTTATCACTATGAATTCTTTCAAAAAACGAATCTTTAGCAAGTCCTCAAGATTCTGTTGAATTACAGCAAAAACAACAACAAAGTTTATATTGCTAAATTAAAATAGGTTTCAAGCAAAGGCATCTTGGTCACTTTGACAAGGGAAGAAACTTGCAAATCATAAAAATGTCTCTGAATCTGAGCAGCAAAACTCCCAGCAGAAATACGAGTACTTTCAGAAATATTACAGGAGCAGCAAAATAATCATTCAGCCTATAGAGTGAGTATGATAAAATAAGGAAGTATTACATTCTGCTCACCGGTGTCAGACAGAAATTATCCTTTGAAAGTGCTAAGAATGAAAAACAGGGTTAAAATGTTAAGAAATAAGGTAACCTTCCAAAGGGCTAATAGTAAGCAGGTGTATCTACAGTCAAATATAGGAAGAAAAAAGTAAAAATCATGAATTAAGTAGGCATCAAGCTCAGTCATAGTGTGAGCTGGTTATGTATTTTTCTGCCACGCTGGTAAGACAGCAGGTTTTCAGGCAAACTCTGATAGCAAACCCCTTTTCTTTCCGCTATCCTTACAAAAGGGCACAGAGCTATAAAATTTAGACAGATCATACCTCCATCTCCTTTTAGCAGAGGGATTCTGTGCATCATTTTTACAGCCTAATGTTCATTTCAATAGAAGCAAAAGAATTAACTCAGACTTCTGCTGGTGAATGGTGAACTTTTTTCAGAAGGGAAATATTCTAGGGTATAAAGATCCAGAGGAACCATAAAGTCAGCTGAATTAAAATAAAATAAATGTTGCCCAAAATCTCACCAGAGCCATCTTACTCAGACCCAGTCTAGCAACACTTCTGCTGCAAGAGCGGGAGATTTTATTGGGAGGTGTGGAATAAAATTGCTTTTTATGTTTGTGTGTGCTCCCCCTTCAAAATAAAAAAGGCATTTGGAACCTGATCAAAAACCTCACTGAAGTTAAGAAAAGAAAAAAAAAGGCAAATTCACACTCACATAGAGGATTGGTCTCTACCTTTACTATCAGAGGTACAAAGCAGAAATGACTGCTCATGCTACCACCATTGCTAAGAGGTATGTTGATAATAGTTGATAATAGCACACAAAACAAAACGTGTGTTTTGCGAGTAGGGCATATATGTCTGTGGGAGATTAGTGAAAACCGAGATCAGGAGATATTGCTAGTACGGCAAGGAATGTGTATGTTTGTAGTAATCTGGTTTTATTGTATTATTTGGAGTGCTGCTTTAAAAACAACATTTCACATTACATGCAGTTTCATTTTTAAAAAATTAAATATTTATTTTTTTCAGAGGTGAAAACATGCATATTTATTTACATCACTTAAAGAAAAAAAAAAGAATTGCTATTTACATCAGAAAATCCCCTTTACAGATCTTTTGAGAAAAAAAGGCAAACAGTAGCAATTTTGCGGAATGAAAAGCATTCAGACTCTTAACCCTGACAGTATTTACTGAGAGACATTAGCAACTGCAGAAGAAGGTCGTTTGAGGATGGATTCAACCGAAAATGACAGTGGCTCACTCGTCGACAGTTTTGTTGTGGCCTGCTTGGCCCCAAAGAAGTCTTTGGCATACTTGTCTATTGTAAACTTGCACTTTTGGTTCTCTTTGGCGGAGCTCTCTCTGTATCTCTTAGCAGCTTCTTCTAAAGTCTCTTTGGCCAATGCTGCTCCAGGCTTCTCCGGGAACGTCTGCGGGAAGAGGGGCTGGAACGGGTGGTACTTGAGCGGCGGAGCTTTGGGGCTCTCTTTGCTCACCTTGCCTAGGATCTGCTCCGGAGGAGCCAGGGGGTCCTTGTCGAAAGTCCTTTTTGGAGGGGAGAAAGCCGACCGCTCCCGAGCCTCTTGCGGGAGGCAGGAGATCTCGCTGCACAGCTGCGTCACGTCCCGCGCGTGGCTCGGAGCGAGCGGGTTTTCCAGCTTCGGGGACACCATGTCCCGCTCTCCGTGGGCACCATCCTGGCTCTGCGAGGCCTTCGCATCCCACCCCACGCCAGGCTTGAGAGCCTGGACACCGGTAGCGTTCAGGAGGCACTGCTGGTAGAGGAGAGCGTCGCTAATGGGGCTGCATTTCGGCCACACCAAGAACCGGGCGGGCAGGGGATACTGCCGGTAGGTCGCTGCTACACTGACGTTCGAAGAAATGAGCTCCATGTTCCCGGCTCCCGAATACTGCATGGTTAGGTCGAGGCAGGTGGGCAAAAAATTGCAAAACTCCTTGCTGGGAGCCTCGACCTGAGCGGGGTTGAAGGCTGCTTTGTACGGGCCGTATTCCGGTCCGTG